CTCTGTAAAATTTCCTGTTTAGAAATATATTTAAAAACAGTGTTCATACAAAGAACACATCATGATTTATTTATTTGGGGGACGGGGGTGTTGGGGGATTATAGACATCGCAGGTACTGGTATACTGTTTACAAGTAATACACCGGATAGGATTTACATGGAAAATTAAATTAAGAACAGGATTGTGTACATTGACTCCATACGATATAAACCAAATCCACAATTTTACGTAGCTGCCGTGTCTTTTTCCTTTTTTTGGTTTTACATTTTACTTTCACTCACTTTCTTTCCGTTCTGTTAACTTAGTTTTGTTTTTCTCGGATTGCGCCCCCTCTTATGCTTTTCTTTTTTTTAGGTAGTACACATGTTAATATATATTATGTAAATTTAATTTATACTTATTTAAATGATTTGTTTATTTGTTTTTGTACTGATGAAGGCATTAGCCCGAAACGATTACTTTTGTATTTTATAGAACCACCATTAAAGCTGAACATATATTGTTTTATGTACACAAACTGTTCCTGTCTAATAAATCCACTTTAAAGCTTTATCGCAGCCCAGCACTCCTTTAATTAGTTAATTGCATTCAATATGTACTGTTGTGACACAAATCCATCGTGTGTCCCCACTTCAACAGTCCCGAAATCTCACTACGCCATCGCTTCTCATCTTATACACCAACTTCAACCAGTCCCGAAATCTCACTACGCCATCGCTTCTCATCTTATACACCAACTTCAACCAGTCCCGAAATCTCACTACGCCATCGCTTCTCATCTTATACACCAACTTCAACCAGTCCCGAAATCTTACTACGCCATCGCTTCTCATCTTATACACCAACTTCAACCAGTCCCGAAATCTCACTACGCCATCGCTTCTCATCTTATACACCAACTTCAACCAGTCCCGAAAATCTCACTACGCCATCGCTTCTCGTCGTTCACCTACGTCGTACACGCTTGCGGGTATCTTGTCGTGCCCGCGTCCGGTAATGGACAGGTCTTCCACCAGAACTCTGTCCCATTTCAGGACCGGGCTCAGCGGGTCGGGCTCCAAAACATCGAACCGGCCGCGCAAAAAGCTGATATCGTACAAGCTCTTCGGTGGTTGGAATAACTGGAACAGACACATGTTATCACAGGTTGTAAGAATGACACAAGGGGAATTGTGATGTGGGTTGTGGATAATACATTGTGATATCACTTGGTATGAAAAATGTTGACATCATTATCAAAGGTATAAAAAAAATGTAACACCAAGTATGGTGAATTTAAATTTGATGAAAAATTGGGACACTGCCGTATCAATATGGAATTATTTAAAGTTTTGTTTGAAAAAAGAAATGAACAAAAATGCCCACTTTAAATCATGGTTTCAGACACTTGGGTGCATTTTACTTCTGTTCATGATTATCTCTTGCGAATGCTAGAAGGTGAAATCCAATTACTACACTGACCTTTTTGTCCCTAAAGCGCCATTTTCCCGTTTTCCTGTTAAAATCGTACTGAAAGAAAAAAAAATGGGAAAGGGGTACGCTCTTATCGTAACAATAGAAGATGGCACATTTTGTAAAAATATTTATAGAGAAGAAAAGTCTCCATTCACCAAGTCCATATTTCAAAAGCACTCTAAATCCGCCTTTCTGTAAGCCATATTGATCACTGGTACCGCAAGACGCACTTTGAGAAATTCAGCTCACCCACAGCTGCACGCGAAGACGTCATCTTCATAGAACAATTCCCTTGCTCTTTGGCTCAGAAGAACCTTCCGAAGTAAAAGGTTGGCCTTGTCAATCGACAGCGCAATCACTAGTGAAACTCGGCCAAGCCATCCGACGGTGACTGGGCAGGTAGGTGTTGAATCAGCCAACATCCACACACCCACACCCACACACACACACTCAAACAATCCACGCACACGCGTCTCGCACGTGTGCAGACGTGCATATACACTCACACAAAATCTCAGACCACAAACACAGACACATGCACAATCTCACAACTCCATCAACAATATTAATGATTTCTGATTTTCTCTATTGTTGTAGCCGGTCTATTAACCTAGTTGTTATTCACCACAAGCCGTGGCATTAAACCTTAACTCTCTCCCCACGTTTATTGTTAGATATTACATGTGTGATTACATGTGCAGCGCCAATCCCTTTCACCCACCATCCCTTGATCGGGAAACGGTTGTAATGTTTGAAAAAATTCTAATTTGTTTTAAAGACTGCTATCAGGTTATGCAGTCTCTATAATTTATTTTCTGGATGGTTTTAACTCACTCCCATTTCTAGCTAGGAGAGAGATTTTCGCTTTTTTCTTAGACAAATACAAAACGTCACATACTTTTTAAGTCACACTCTCTATATGTATGTGAGTAAATTAATATCTGTATCTGTGGAGGATTGTACTTTTCCATTGCTGAGCTGTAAGTTAATGTAACTCTTATTTCTCTTTATTTATTATTAAATACTATTCATATCGCTAGCTTTTTTGCAAAGTTTTTCTTTGTTTACTGACTTTCAGTTCTTCATTACATATAGTTCAACAAACTAGCAAAATATTTTTAAAAAGATTAAATTTACACACAAAAAAAAACGCACAAAAACTACAAAAACTACAAAAACATATTGCGGTACTTAACAACTGAATATTAATAAAAAAATACCAGACCCACCTCTTTGATTATAACTCATTCTCTCTATATTATAAAATACCGCCCCTATGTCTCGAGAGGTAAAGCTACTCCCTGTATCCACCATGAAACAACAAAAAAATGCTGAGAAATTCATAAACCACGCCTAGATAAATCCATCCGGTTGATACCTAAGATTTACTCACCAAGGGCAGCAGCAGCCATCCCATCTCAGCTGTCATCAGAATGGCCTTAATGACGAACGAGAAGCAGTCTTGTGGGAGGAAGTACGGGAAATTGAGACGAACAAAGCCGGGCCTGTGATTTAAAAAATGAATAGCTAGAAAATTTCGAAGGCGGCCTCAGAAAGTATCCCTCGGTGGGTTGTGAGGAGGTAGCCTAAAAATTTACAGGATAACATTTAATTTTTTTAACAAATATTTTTAAAACTTGATCCTATATTTTTCTCAGAAAATAAATTTATATTCAAATAAAAAATGGATTGACACCAGTGAGTTGGGGGGGGGGGGGGTTCAACCAAGGAGGCGGAAAGCCAAGAATCTTTCCGAATGGAAGGATAG